TAACAATACGCACATTGTGGTTTAAAAGTCTTAGGATATTTTTTTCTTTTTAATATGTAGTATTTATCGTAGATAATCAAATTATTTATTATTATTTGTTATGTATCATTATCATTATTTTTTTTATTATTAATACTTTACAAATTTTTTATTATCTATTATTTCACTTTTTATTCTTTCGATGCTGAAACAAGTGCATCATTTACTTATCCTAAATCTTTTATACGAGTGTGTATATAAATATCTCTCTGTATCATATAAATTGTATCATAAAAATTTACATACTCTACTTTTATTAGCGTGAAAATGTTGAAAGTTTTACGTGAATACGGAGAATTTTATTACGGCCTAATTTGAAGAAGCCCGGAGAAAAAGAATAAATAAAATTACTGGCTAAAAACTGGGAGCCATTTCAATTTTTTGAAATAGCTGTAGGCTATAAGCTACTTATGGGATTGCTAGATAGAAAAGAAAGCGGACTATTGTGAAACGAAAAATCCTTCAGATTTACTGTTTTTGTTGCGCATAAACATCGACGTCATTCCACTATTCACTATGCATCGTTGAATATCTTTTATGAAACATTTATGTTTCATAAAAGAATTTGAAGAACTCTAATAACAATGCAGACCTTGTATTTTCAAAATTTTAGAGGACTATATACATATATTCTTAAAAATTAATGAAAAGCTCTCTGAAATTAGCAGAAAACTACAAAGCTCTGGTCGCTTGAAATCACAGAGTTTCATTTCGTTAACTTTCGAATAGCCAAGTTTAAATTCCAGAAATACAGACAATATATATTTTCGCACGATAATTTAATGAATCACTTAGCAGAACGTTTGATTCGTTAAGTGGAATTTTATTTGATCGAATAATTCGAAGTGTTTGAAGGTGATTAAATTCCGCGCTTCTGATTGCAGAGTTCGTGAAGAAAGTTATCCAATTATACGAAACGACTGTGGTTCGTCACGGATTAATGCTCGTTGGTCCAACTGGATCGGGGAAGACAAGGGTAAGTGCTTTTTCAAGTCTGAAGGAACTCTTCGAATTAACTACAACGTAATATAGTTCTCGAATGTGTGCTTGAATATTTCTATTTATAAAATTTCTTTTCATTCCATTCACACTTTTTCACTCATCTTTACTTCTCGTACATTTACATCTTTTTTACTCACCTTTACTTCTTATATATATTTTTCATTTTTTCGCTAATTTCTAAATTAGTATATTCTTAATATCGAAAATTATAGTTTTTTTTTTAAATTCTATGTTCAAATTTATCAAATACAAAATTTTCAATCGTACCTTAGATAAGCGAATCCATCTCGATAGAATCTTCAGAAACCTTTGTGTCAATTCCATAACAATATGTTGTTTCTAACTTTGTAATTAAAACTTTGTAATTTTGCTTGCATAGAACATACGTAGATACGATATTTAAAAATATAGTTAGCGACATTTCTGCGATGGAATAACTGCGACTCATCCGTGTCGCATGATTTCCGCGAATAAGATAATAAAACCTGATTGTAGAAAGTGCATTCGTATGTGCAGCTAGCGAAACAATATGCGAAAGGCAGACTGATTGTTGGACTGATTTGCACGATCGATGCAATTGGTATTTTTAATTGCTATTATTCACGCGGAATAAACAAACAAGATGTGTTCGTTGAAAAGATCATGGCAGCTGGTGATTGATATTTTTGTTTTACAGTTTGTATTATAGTGGAGTGAATATCGTAACGTTTATAATCTTTTCCACGAGGAAAAGAACGAAATGACTCATTCTCGGTATTACGAATATTTTTCCCTCTTTTATCGTTCGTCGATAAATGCGATAAAAATAGATAGAAATATTCCGCAAGCAAATCGGCAAGTCACTTGCGTTACATAGCATTTCAACTGAAAAATGATTTAATTTCCGATTTTCCCTTTTTTTTCGATAAATTTTTTTTTTTTTAACATTTTTCTTTGACATTTAATGGAATAATCGAGCAATTTTAGATCTCCTGGAATTACATAATGCTACGGAATACAAGACTGTGTGTTTTTCTTTGTATCGATTGCTCAAGATTTTCCCTCCTCGAGTGCGACCCGCGAAACGTACATCTCTGATCCTTCTTTGAATTTATATCAAAGACCAAGGATTATTTCGGATTTGCTCGCGCTTTGTATTAATCTGACACGTATCCAACTTTCTTCAATAATAAACGTGAACGCGAAAATCAGTAGTTGCGGATCCCTCTTATTATTCCGTCGTCGTAAAAGTCTTTAAATATCGACGAGTTTTTCAAATAAATGTCCTTTGTTGACGAAGAAAAGACAGGTAGATGGAAATTCTTGCTCTGTCGGCTGATAGTAATGATAACAATAAAAATAATACTGATAGTAATGATAAAAATAATATTATACTTGTTGATGAAGTAATGATAACGATAAAAATAATATTATATTTGTTGACGAAGAAAAGACAGGTAGATGGAAATTCTTGTTCTATCGGCTGATAGTAATGATAACAATAAAAATAATACTGATAGTCTTCGTATCTCTATTAAGCTTTGTAACAATATAACAAAGTTGTTATCATTTATTTTATTCATTTTTTTCTTATCTTTAAATAAAAATTATTTGTATTGCAAACGAATATAATTTTGTAGTAAATATAATAGCTATATATATGAGTCTGCATGTTTGACGAAATTTGAACGGGAAAGAATTTTCAACCCTCATAAGTGGTTATACTAATCCATTTTAAATTATTAAAATTCAGGATGCTTGATTTTATATTTTTAATTTAATTGGCAGGAACTGGCAGTTGAATTAAAAATTCTAGAATTAGGTAATTCAATTCTAAATTATCGTGGTCTTCCCGATGGTGCAATGATTCCGATATCGATTTAAATATATAAATTATAGAGTTAAATCTTCGTGAGAGGTACCTTACTTTTGCAAATTCTATTTTTATTATCGGCTTTTACTTTTCATCAAATGGGTTACGTTGCTGTCAACGAAACAAATCGAGATTCTCAATCTTCTTTTCACATCGTTTTCCATTTACCTCACGTCCTATGGTCAAATACCCTCGGATGATCACGCTGTCACAAATAAATCTGCAGATTTATGTGCAATCATAAGCGTGAGATACGATCGTTATTTTTTTTATCTGAATCACACAATGCACAATAGTAATCAGTATAATTTTTAACTTGGAGCAATGTCATTTATTAATGTTCATCCTTTGAACTTGATTCATCATATTAAGAAGTTAATATTTATAACAAATAGATAAGTAGTTAAATTTTCTGATTGTTTTATTAGCAATAAGTAGATTAAATTTTCGTCCAATTGCGTGCAAGATTCATTCATTGTCAGCCGATTAGGTTGGATAAGTGATAAGCTCATGTCGCGGTCGAGTCTTCGGACTCGAAAGGTGAGCTGCGGTTGGGATTTAGAAAGATCCTCCCTCCCAACAATGTTCGGAGCTTGCACTCTCTGAACTTATCGGTGAGCCCCTGTGAATATAGGAACGCGTTGATCGAGCGTATCTCCCATGGAAAGCATGTCTGTTAAATCTTCATGGTAGACACAGGCAGGTTAAATCTCTCGGACGCGTGTCTGCTGCAGGCACAAACGGCCCACGAAGCTCTATAATCGACATTATCCTTTGCGTCAAGACTGAAGTTTCCTTCCCCCTTGAAAAGGGCTTAGCATTTAATATTATCGCAGCATCGTTCATTCATTGTCATTTTTACGTACACAAAGCTTTCACATTCTCGTGCATACGTTGCACTTGGTACTTTGAAATTTTCCACAATTTCCTTTAAATTTGTATTTGAACTTTATTCAGACTTCGCAACGTTGTGGACTCGACTTTCTTGGCTTTTATATTCGTTAATAAATATTTGAAAAAAATATCAAAAACTGAATGTTAGAAAACTTCATTTCCATATCAATACTTGTATATTGCAAAGTAGAATAATATTTCGTAAGAAAAATGGCAAATTGATACGGGATTCTAATTTTCGTAGAATATTCAGAGTAAAGTCGAGCAATCAAAAAAAAAAAATTAAAAAAATGATGAGAAATTAAAATTAATATGCATGAAGCTTTGTCAAGCATTTTTACAATCTCATGTTCTTCGTAACTTTAATAAAAGCCGTAGTTATCGATCGAGCGACTTAATCGCTTG